GAATCAGTATAAAACAATGTTTGTGCAAAGGAAAGCTAGTTAGTTATGCTAATTAGAACATTTTACCAGGAATTTAATTTTCTGAGTTAGCCAGATTTTGCACCACTTTTTTAACCAGCTCATAATTTCATAACAATCGCAGGTTTGAAAACAGATGAGAACAGACTGCAAAATACTGGTGGTTCTGTGTGAAAAATATTCCTGGGCTTTTGTGCAAATATTTTTCAGACATGTTTTCTTCTTAACAAAGATGAAGCTGCTCTCACCAACTGGAATGGTCATATGAAGTCGACTTTTAGTTTTGTGTCGTGATTTTTGTTTCGGTGTGTTAGTAAACTACTTTTCAGCAGCTACATGTACATACATGAGTGCTGATTGAAAGCACTAACATTTTTTTATGTTTGTGTATGCAAATTGCATTATGTGTCTCAATATATCAATAGAGTACTAAAACAAACAGAGAGTTCAGCTGAAAATAGTAATTTTTCTTTTGCAGGGCATATTTTAGTGTAGAGGCTGCACCAGAAGGTCACGAAACTTGAAGCGACATGTCAAGCAGTGATAAAAAGAAAGCGTGAGTATTGGGCTAATTTGATGTTGACTCTGATTTCTTTATTGTACATTTAGTTTACACCATTGAACTTGTGTGCCAATAGCTTGTACACATTCACCTACACAACGAAAAAATCCAGCACAAACCAACCAATCAAGAGCCTTGCACTATCAGGTTTCCCCAATGTGGCATAATGGTCGCTCAGTGTTCATGCAATGGTCACGCAATGGTCCTGGGAAATGTTTCTGGGCAATGCTCAGCAATGCTTCAGTTGCGAGTAATTGCTGTCCATTGCTGTCAATACTGCACAGAGCATTGACCTTTGCACAGAGTAATGCTCTGCGCAGTGCTCATCACTGTCTTAATCATCAAAATTTCCACTGATTTTCGCCGGTGCTTCAGTCAATGCTTGATATTGCTATGAGCATTACTTTCACTTTAGCGTAGGTGTTTCAATCTCGTGATTCCATGACCTTCTACACTTTCTACTGCTCCACACAGCCATGTACACAACCTTTTGGCCAAAACTGCCAGCATTGACAAGCATATAATGTTATTTGGGACTAATCAATTTTTTGGGTGTAACAAAAATCCTTTCCTCCTACCATACCTTAAAACCCCCCTTCCCTACCCCACCTTTGTTTGGCTCTGCAACTTTGATCCACCAATTGCACTCACTGAAGTAAATGCTCAAGGATTGCATAGGATGCACAAAATAATGCTCATTCCTCACTCACTAGTTTGAAACTTTTTCAAATTCCTTTGTTAGATAGGTAGCAAAATGTATGCACTACTCCAAGCATTTAGATATGATGGTCATAAGATCAATATGGCCTATGCAGAGGCAAGATGGAGGAATGCTACAGTCTTTTTTCAATGTTTTTTCTTATACCTGTCATGAGCAGCATTTGTGTGTTTTATTTAATTGGCAATAAAACTTGGATAAGATGCAAACTAGGAGCCAGGTGCATGAAACAGGAAGACATTTTGAATTAATTTTTTTTTCTGTGTGAATGTGGAGAATCGGCTAAGGTGTAGCACAAGAACAAAGATGGACTTGGGAAGGGGGTTATCTAATCAGGGTGGGAGGAAGGGGTTTTTGTTACACCAGGAAAATTGGACACTCACAAATAACATTATGTGCTTGTCAACGTTTGGTAATGCTTTTCAATGCTTAGCAGAGGTGTGCAACAGACGTCTATCTGCCCATCCAGACGGGCATGGACAGACAAATTGGTCATTTGAAACATGCACAGACAGACAAAAAATGCCGATGACAATTAGCCGGGCGGACATGGACAAACATTAAAAATGTATTGAACAGAAATGGGCAGACAACAAATGCTGATGGAAATATGCAGGACAGACATGGATGGACATAGGATATGTATTGGACGGACATAGACAGACCAGACTGCAAAATTATGTGGGAGGGTATGGACGGACATGTGAAATGCATAGACAGCTATAGGTAGACGAAAATATTAGACTAAATCATTTGGTTGGACACAGATGGACAGTTTGAGTGTTTGGCTGGACACAGGCAGGTAAAGCTTGTCTGTCGCACACCTCTGATGCTCAGAACATTGGCAAGCATGCTGTGTACTTGATGGTGGGGAGCAGTAGAAAGTCAATGCTTGTCAATGCTCGGAGAAGTGTAGAAGGCAAACCAACCAGAAGATTAAGACACCAAGGTTAAAGTAATGCTTGGTGTTATGTCAAGCATTGACTGAAGCACAGGTTAAAATCAGTGGAAATGTTGATGCTTCAGACAGCGCTGAGCATTGCTCAGAGCTATACTCCGACCAAAATTTAGTAAATGCTTGCAATGCTCGAGGCAATGCTTGGCATTGCCTGGCATTGCCTAGCACGCTGAGCATTGCCCAGGACCATTGTGTGCAACAATGTGCGACCATTGCTTGACGATTTTGGGCAATACAGCATCATCTTCCATTATTCCCCCAATGGTTTTTGAATCTTTTATTAATGTTGATGCATTTTTTTCCTGGTGTTAAAAGATCATACAAACTCCCGTTATGTGCATATGTTTCATGATCAAACAGCGCTTATATTTTTTACTGTGTTGACCAATCCTTGCGAAAAAGAGGGCGATGTCTACATATGTTAAAAACATTCTTACTGCCAATCGTTTGACCACTCAATCACTCTGGTGCCATCTTATCTAACCCTGTGTGATTGAATACATGCTTTCAGTTGCTCAAATATTGATGCTCAGAGTAATTTGCCATACAATGAGTTGAGCCACTGAATTCATCTTTGCATGAGCACTTTACTATCGGTTGAGAAAACAAGTACCTATTATCCTCACTTTGACTTTCCATTTCTCTTACAGAAATGTTATTCGACTGTCTCTTCGTGAACTAGATAAGAAATGTAATGCTGAGAAGAGGAATGACTTTCTCAAGGCATGGAAACTAATTCAGGAACTGCCACCAACTAATCCGAACTCATTCTGGTCAATAGCATCATACCATGGCATGCCATTCAAAGAACGTTGAGTTGCACTGTGTGGGGATGAGAGTGAGGAGGACTCCAGTGGCACTGGTAAGGATGAGGATCAAGAACCGACAACGTGGGGTGGCTACTGCCAACATGGCAATGTTCTCTTCCCATTTTGGCACCGATTTTATTGCCTTCGTTTAGAACGGGCACTGCAGTCAGTACTGGAAAGGGGGAAAGAACGAGTGGCATTGCACTACTGGGATGCATCAAGCAAAGAAAGCAAGTCGGAGGGTCTGCCCCACATAGTCACAGCCGAGTATGTGTACATTGATGGAGAGTATGTGCCAAATCCCCTGTTCAAATTCAAGCTGCCCTTGCCCATCAAAGATGTTGTTTCAACCAATGATGCAAATAGCCAGTTTTATGAGAAAGAAGCTGGCTATGACACCTGCAGGTATCCATACTCGGGCATCCGAAGTCCTGATGAAGCTAAGGCGGCCGCTTTAGATCACAACGACAAGATCGATGGGAGAAATGAAACAGCACAATCCCTTTTGCAAGCAAACATCATCGGCTGGCTAAGTAATGGTGGTAGAAATCGTAGAGGTGTTGCCAAGCAGTTGGAAGATTGCCTTGATACAACAGATTACAATCCATTCTCAAACACGTCATCTGTTCATAGTCCTGATGTTTCACTTGAGCAGCCACATAATGACCTACATTTGGCCATAGGTGGATTCACACAACCGGACACTAATGAAGATGGAAGCGTCAAACAGGATGCCCAGGGCAACATCAGCTGGAATGGTCCAATTGAGGGAGCAAATGGTGACATGGGTGCAAATGAGGTGGCTTCATTCGACCCAGTTTTCTTCTTGCATCACTGCAACATTGATCGCATGCTTTGGGTCTGGCAGAAGAAGCATAAGAAGACAGATCCGTGCACATTCACCATTGACAACAGTGATGAAAAGGACCAAGGCATCTCGAACAGCAACCAAGGTGCTACTCCCAACCAGACATGGGGCCAAAAGCTAAACAAGAAGACCATTCTTTACCCGTTTCAAGATGAGTACGGTGTCCCTCGAACATCCAGGGATTGCATCAACATTGTCTCTCAGCTTGATTATGATTACTCCATTGGCTCACTGGATCAAGCTACCTGGCCTGAACCTGAAGAAGTGAAGAAAGTCTCCCTGCTAGATAAGCCAAGCACACCCTGGCAAGACATTCTTGATAAGCTGGGAAAGGAAACCTTAAACATACTTGCCACTGCCCCTGCTGCAACTGGTCGCCAACGCCTCCGAATGATATTTGACCGTACTCAGTTCACTTCATCTGCTGTCTCCGCAATGAAGGCACCTCAAGCTTTTCCTGATTGTCACATCCCCATATGCCCAACTGGTCCTACCTACAATACAATCAAGGGAGTGTCTATCAACTTCCAAAATTTTGTTCAGGTCAAGGATGTCAACAAGGACAAGATTTCAGGATCTTTCCTTGTGCAAGTGTTCTACAGAGCCTCTGGAAAGCTCTACTATCTGGGACAGGGTGGTGTTCTGTCCAGGTGGAACAGAAGCAACTGTGCTAACTGCCAGGGACGCAGTATGGCTCACATCTCCATTCCAATCAGAGCAGATGACAGAGCTGCATACGACGCCCAGAACCTAGAGGTGCACCTTGTGCACAAGGATGGGTTGACTGGCAAGTACAAAAGAGAGGTGTTCGCTGGCAAAGATCTTGTTGCACCGGTAAAAGCCAGATATGCAATACGGTTGGCTGGCAAGTACAAAAGAGAGGTGCTTGCTGGCAAAGATCCTGTTGCACCGGTAAAAGCCAGACATGCTCCTGGTGAGCAAAAACCTTCACTTCGCATTGTCGGGGCTTTTTTACAAAACTAAGAGTGAAGACATAAAATCCAGCATAAGAGGGAAGCGTGGTTCATTATCAATTTTCAATTATTACTGGCAATTTTTGGACAAAATTATCACCAAGTCAGCATTAAGTACTAGTACGTACCATCAGAAAGTTTATATTAGGCGCATTTCTAGTTTCAAGAAAGTTTAATCCTTGCTACTTTAAAGCATCAGTGCTTGAGATGCATTCTTACTATAAAATTTGCTTCATTCAATTCAGCATTGGAGACTATTCTTATCTGCATTGCTTCAAGATCTATGAAAACTGAAAAAATCTTCCATGTTTTTTTTGCTAGCCAACTACAGTAGATGATAGATGATATTAACATGCAGTAAAAGTTTGAATCATTTATGTACTCACTGTTATACCTGTAGCTTTTTTTATTTGAAATTCTACCACCACTGCAGTATCAAAAATTTAGTAAGTGTATAATTAGCATGTAAAGCTTATAAAGTTTGCCGAATAACGAGCTGCACTTTTTGCACTATTTCAATTTTGACAATATTGTTACTAATCATAGCCTTCGTGATATGGAAAACATCAAACCCTATGCTTTTAGCCTATTTCAATCATCATAAGCTTTTAGAAACTGGCTTTTTTATTATTTCTCTTTTATCCATGTGTACTTGCTTATTTTGTTTGCCTAAGAGCTTACACTATGTGACAACAAATTGTGAGTAAAATTTAAGTAAGAAGATTAACAGTATGATCATAGCAGATTTAGTCACTTTGTTGCAATAATGAACTAATAATAAATCAATAAAAGTCAACATTTCTTTTTAGCTCAGTTCAATTCCTCATAGGTACATATAAATGTATAAAAAAATTCATGCTTTCAAAGCATGTCTTTTGTGCATTAGTAAGACAAAAACCTTCAAGCTCAGCATACTAGCAAACCAGATACGTTTATGTATATTTAGTTACTGTGTAGGTTTGTAACACATAATAGCCCAGCTGATTACAACATTACTCCATGGAGTCCATGAAGGCCCTGGGTTCGAGTACCGGTCTATGCTGACTTTCTGTTCAAAGTCATCTTTGAGTGGATTTGTGATGCCATCGTTATAGAGGGTCTATTGGTAGAAGGTGGTAGCAAACTTGAATAGCAAAACTCTTTTGGCAAGCCACAACAGTTGTAAGTGCTTGCATGGACTAGTAGGTGGCCTCATGGCCTAATAGATATTTTACAACCTACACATTTAAAAATAAGTAATCAAATTTTTTCAAAAAAGTTTCAACCCTACTAGGGGAGACATTTGACAGTGAAGGTAAGGTAGAATCTGTGCCCAGCCAAGTGATTCTATTCAAAACACTGCAGCTTATGCTGGTGTTGGAAGAGTAGTATGAGAAAGAGTATTTCTCCTGAGCTCTCCTTGCAGTCCTAGATGGGATGCTGGTCTACTACACAGTATTTAGCCCCCAGCATTGAATTCACCAAGTACCAATTGTACATCTGGGTGGTGAGACGCACTGGGAGAGTCAAGTGTCTTGCCCAAGAACAAACCAAATGAGACTGCTTGATGTACAGTCCAGAGCACCAACCATTTGTGAGAGTTTGAATTAAAATTGAATTGAATTTCATTGAGACCACCGTGTCTCATCCATTTCCAAAATAACAAATTAGAGCTAAATAGCCCAAAGCTAAATGGTCAAAGATTGAAGTCTGGTGCATGCAGTGGAAAGAAATTCACTTGGATCCCTCCCCCACAAATGAAAATTCTTCAACAAGATACCCCAGGCAGTGCTAGGTTATCTCGTCACATCCATGCAACAAAAGATTCTTGAAACAGCTGAACAAGTCAACAGTGATACAACCACTTTCCTGTTCAATTCATTTTTGCTAGATTTGTGTCTTATTAATAATGGTAATAGGACTGACTGAAGTCCAATTCATTCTGTAATCATACGAGTGATTAACAAAATTGGACGACTGCGAAGCGGGAGTCTAATTTGTTAATCACGAGTATGATTACAGACTGAATTGGACGACATGATGTCCTGTTACCAATTAATCGTAACAATTATAATTTTCCACAAAAGTAAAATTTTCAATTGAAAAAGAGCTTTTCATAGTCATTTTAAAATATAATGAAAAATATGGAAAATAGCTTGCAAAATGGCTGTTTAGTTTCGTTCAAAACAGTCACTGAAGACTAAACCTCCACAATTTTACAAAGTCAGTCTTGTAAATTGGTTACCATAGTGATTGTAATCAATGTTGTGATTGGTGGATTTAGTGGAGGACTTAAAATCATTGGCTCATGTAACTGTCTGATAACAGGTGTCCGATTACAGCCAGCTGTCCAGTTACAACTTTGCAGATTAATTAGTGCAAAATACAGCAGTTTATGCACCCATCACATTTGAGGAAATTATGATTATTCCTAGTTCAGGTACATGTTGCAAAAGTACTATATATTATTATTATATGGCTGTGTCTCACAAGGACTGGGAACTACCGAATTCACGAATTTGATTGGCTGAAATCGATATTGACTGCGGTCTAGATTTTCCC